GTGCCTTTTGATAGTTTGGAATTTTAAAAAAAGTTAATATTCGAGTTTCCATGGCAACGACTTTGATTTAGACTGAAAACGGCGGTAGTCCTCGTTTCCGGAGCAGATCTTGAAAACCGTACTATATTTCTTCATCAAACTTGGCACATAGATAGATCTAGTGGTGAACTGGTGCCTTTTCATAGTTTGGGATTTTAAAAAAATATATTTTTCGAGTTTCCATGGCAACGACTTTGATTTAGACTGAAAATGGCGGTAGTCCTCGTTTCCGGAGCTGATCTTGAAAACCGTACCATTTTTCTTCCCCATATTTTGCACATTCATAGGTCTAGTGGTGAACTCGTGCCTTTTGATAGCTTCGGATTTTTTTTAAAAGTTATTTTTCGAGTTTCCATGGCAACGACTTTGATTTAGGCTGAAAATGGCGGTAGTCCTCGTTTCCGGAGAAGATCTTGAAAAACGTACTATATTTCTTTACCAAACTTGGCACATAATGTCATCTCACAGTATTGAATACATTTCCTTTCCTGTCGGTAAGTTCTGCGTCGCTTGAGTGTATGTTCCTCCAAAAGTGTCATGGACACAGTTGTTGCATTCACTGACTAACTTCATACAGAAACACAACTCATAACAAATACATCAGTGTAACTGATCTTAAACCTACTCAACTGTATAAACAATATATGTTCTTGTCAACCATACTCTGAACCATCACTTGCTTGATAATGGTGTTAGAACCTACACCGAAACCATCGCTCCTAATTGTAATAAAGAAGTTGTTCGTCCATATGTCTCATCCTTACTCATTACAAATTCAGTAACATATAAACTGCAGATGGAAAAACAACACCAGTTATAACTTTTTTTAGTGCTGCAATTAGGCCATTTACAAAAAGGCCCAGTGAACATAGTTTACAGGAGCTAATGCATTGCACACAACCGGACATGTCATATTGGTGGGGGGTAAGAGTATTTCATGCTTGTTTGTATTATTTCATGCCTGGAAAAAATCAATATAAACTGGATAATTATACATTCAATACATTTTCTTGCTCTTCTGGAGTCCTCGAACTTGACTCGAAAGTGCGCGTTATCGTCATCGATGTCACTGCTTCATCATAAGTTGTAAGGGTTAGGGTTAGGTCATCATTTAATAATCTACTAACTGTATCAGGTCAATACTTAGATATCTCATTCTGATTGGCGAAATTGGCATTCATAAGTGCATGAGCGACTCAATTTAACGTTCATGCGTTTTTCGTGAGACCGTATTCTTGAAATCACGTAAACACTGACAGACTAATTATGCATTGTTGGGGGATCCCGGAGAATCCCTAGCACGAATACATACAGAAACGTCGTTTCTGATTATTTGGATCATTTTATCTAAAAACTCAGCGGTTTAGCATACATTGAGAAACGTCAGAGAGTTTGACTGCATAATCGTTCATGAATATCTTAGCTACGACCCATCCTAGTGATCAAAACGAAGAATTACACACACCAAAATTATCGTAGTGTCGACTCGATCCGTGTCTAGACTGACAGTGACAGTCTACAGCAAACTATGAATTTACCTTAACACTATTTGATACATCCATACAATCACCTTACAAGATTCAATTCGTCAATGATTACCAACAAATGTAACTGCCACAGGTTCATTAATAACTTCGAAAATTTCTCCCGTCACGTCTAACGTGTCTGCCATTGTGACGTCTTGTACTTGATGTACATGTATTACGACGCGCTGTCATTGTGACGTCGTGTACTTGATGTACATGTATTACGACGCGCTGTCATTGTGACGTCGTGTACTTGATGTACATGTATTACGACGCGCTGTCATTGTGACGTCTTGTACTTGATGTACATGTATTACGACGCGCTGTCATTGTGACGTCGTGTACCTGATGTACATGTATTACGACGCGCTGTCATTGTGACGGACTGAGGTTGTTCTAAACACACCTTTCACACAAAATAATGATTTTTTAATGCATTCGTTGTAACAACTACAACAGATGTTCTCTTCGAGTAAGTTGAGCATTTTACTCTTGCGTCACCCCTCTTTTTGACTTACTATTTTATTCCGCGACACACCTGGTTGTGGTATGGCTGTCAGTGTAAACATAAGTCACACGTCAAACGAAGTCTCTGTAGCTAGAAGGCAGGCTGTATAAGGGTGCGATTCAAGGCCTATCTTCCAAGGCCTGCCTTGCGTCTCATTTAGTTGCCCAGTAGGTACCGAATTATGGACTAGGCTTTGTGTTTCCATTTTCAATGAATGAATGAACGAATGAATAATTTGGTAAACCGACTATAGACCGATTATACAATTACATCATTACATAACATCATACAAGTTAGGGACATAACTTAAGGGAATTGATTTATTCACCCAGCACCAAGCATCACTTATCACATTCTGCCGAATAACGTATTCATTTATTTATTCATTCATTCAATACTATTTTCGAACCTGCCAATTCCAAAGTAGGTGTACAACTTATAACTGAATCTCTCATTTGAACTACGAAGTAAAATTGCAACCAACTTTTTGAGTCCATGTCGGGCAAAGGAATAATCTTGTTCCAGTACAGCTGCTACTCCAACGTCAAAGCAGACATTATATATTACCTGATTTATGACTTGTCCCTGGGATGAGCAGCTACAGGCTAAGAAGTTGAATGTAAGTATGACAGTGTTTGTTTGTTGTTGTTTTTGTTTAACGCCGCGCTCAGCAATATCCCAGCCATATGACGGCGGTCTGTAAATAATCGAGTCTGGACCAGACAATCCAGTGATTGACATCATGAGCATCGATCCACGCAATTGGGATACGATGACATGCATCAGCCAAGTTAGCGAGCCTGACCACCCGATCCCGTTACTCGCCTCTTACGACAAGCATAGTCGCCTTTTACAGCAAGCATGGGTTACTGAAGACCTATTCTACCCCAGATCTGCCCGGGTCAATGTATGATACAGATGTATATTACTGATTATGTTTCTGAAACAAGAGTTTCGACGTTTAATTGCTACGAGTGTCTGATAACTTAGTTACACGGGATGATTATGTGAAAGTGTAAGCTGTATCTGCTCTTGTTCCTTGATGTGCAAACCTGAAACTTTCCATGTCACATAGCCAAACCTTTGAGAGTCATTGTCGAGTTTTTGTCTCTAATCTTTAATTCGAAAAACATATTTATGCATTACGGTGTTTCAAAACAAGATTTGGAAAACTCAGAGGACCAGTTCACTCATTAAAATTGACACACGGATGTTGTCACGGTTTCCACAAAGTCTCTAACGAAATATGTTTATTAACATAGCCTGGTAACTTCGCACACAATGTTGTTTCGATCGATTGATGCAATGTTGATTCATTCACAATTGTGCAAGTTGGGAATGTAATTGCTCATGATAGTACAGACAGGTTATATGTACAATGAAGCTCCCCTTCGACCAAGCTGGAAGCGTGTGTTCATGCTCTGACGAAATTTGAACATAATAACATTGCCATCGTGATAAATTCATTTGTTTCACGAACTGTCAGAGGTTGCCTGCAAATAGCATTTTCTCAATGCAGTTTTAATAAAACAATTGGGAAGAATGCAGTTGTTGTCCCTCTTTTCTCCAAATCCCATTAAGTATATATGTCAAGGTCGTAGAAATATAACTCCAATATGAACGCTGACGAATTGAAGTTAGGGAGAGAGAGAGAGCTATATTTCAGTAAAGGGGCCACCGGCCCATTATACAAATATACATGATATCAGAGTTAGACAATTTCAGCGCCAATGAGAAAGTTATTACGCTTTTTAAAAGCAAGAAATATAAATTTAGCTAAAGCATTAATTTTGCATGGGGTTTTATCAAAAGTTACATTTGTGTAAAAACAATAAGGTAGAACCTTACGTCTCAAACTGTCATAGTATGGACATTGTAAACAAAAATGATATTCAGATTCCACTTCAGGTCTTACACAAAATGGTCATAGTCTCTTAGCTCTAGGTATATTGTACTTCCTTCCATTTTCAATAAGCAAAGTATGACCAGAACATCTAAATTCTCTCAGAGTAATACGATACGCACTTACTGGAATACAATCTTGATAATTTTCAAATACATTATATTGCTTTATACAAGAATAAAACGAAAGTTTTGAGTAAGTTCTTAGACTGCTAGACCATTGTTGGTTATCTATATCAATACATCTTGTTTCAAAGTTATCAATAAAACCAATATGATTTACTCCTTGACTATTCCAAACATGGCCAAAACCATATGAATAAAGATGTTGTTTTACTTTTAGTGCCCAGCAATTTAATCCTTTTTCTGCCAGATTGATTTGAATTAGCATGGCTAAGGATCATATTAGTTTTTTGAGAAACAAGTCGGAGCCAATATTTGACAATACGAACATGTTGATTGACTTTAAGTGAATAACGTCCAAGCTCACCACGAGCAACTATATTGGGGACAAATCTCCCATAGTGTAAAATATTCTTAATTAAACTATCATGTACATTGATGGCATCCTGAAACGGGTGAAAGCCCCATATCTCTGAGCAGTAGAGAAGAACAGGTAGTATTTTGACATCACATATATTTGTAAAAGTACACTATAAGGAAGTTTCATAAAATCCCTTGAGCCTGATTTTAAAGCGAGAAGATATTTCGTCGCTTGTAGTGCAAGTGTCTTCTGTGTAAAGTACCAACTACCAGATGATGAAAGGTGAACACCTAAATATTTATAAGTAGGAACAATTTCTATAATGTCAGTGCCAAACCAAAACTTTTCATATCTTCTAAGACGACCACTACGTCTAAATACAATAACTTTACTTTTGCTTCTAATAAAAGACAATTTCCTCTTATGACAATAAATCTTCATTTTGTCGAGGCGTCTTTGCAACCCCACTACTGTACTATCGAATAAGACCATATCATGTGAGAACATTAGAATAAAAAGTTCAATTATTCCTAATTGGATATTACGTTGCCCGTCTGAATTAAGAAAGTCAACAATATCATTTCGAAGAATGAAAACAAAAATGGAGATAATTCACATCCCTGTCGTACACCTGACTCGCAATGGAACAAGTCTGTGTAGCCACCGTTAACAAACATACAAGATGTAACGTTTTCATACATATTTTTAAGTATTCTACATATGTAACCATTAACATTACCTTTCCAGAGTTTGTAAAATAAACTTGTCCTACACACTGAATCGAACGCTGACTTAAGATCTATGAACGCACAATAGAATCTACTTTTATGTAACAATAGATATTTTTCAATCAAAATATTGATAACATACACATTATCAGATGTTCTAAATCCTTTTGTCCAGTTGTCATACAATGTCATCATTCATAATAATCCGTCAAGGGTAAATAATAAGGTAATTATTTTGCATAAAAACACAGTTGTTGAGTCTGAACGCTGTAAGTTAAAATCAGTTACATGACCGATAAAACGATAGTTTGCAGTTACACGAAGTTTGGAAATCTGCCAGAGGCTGATAAGAAATTATGAACAGATTTTAGTATTTCTAAATTAATCTTTGCTTTAGCATTTGTTTTTCCATAAAGATTAGAGTTATATCATATCCTGTGGAGTAAGACTACATGTTTATTTTCTTGCGCCAGTGTAGTTGGTACAATTATAGAAATAGTGAAGTGCATCTCCATTGTGGTAGCCACAAGATCAATTTGGATTAGTTGATATAAACATTAGAAATCTGTCAGCAATGAGGTCACTACAGTCTCAGGCGACAATGTACAATTTGGTTTAACCTAGAGCAATAGCTTAAATCATGTTTGTTGAAATGCTTTTCAGCACCTTTTATCATTCTTTTAAAATCTTTCAATGTACTGGCTTTAGCATATGCAGTCGGCAAGGAATTACAGAGTTCGACTTTATCAGGAAGAAACGATTTTGCAAAGCTTGCTGTTCTGCAATTTAGAGTCTGTCATTTAGAATTATTCGTGAGGTTGTAGTCAAAAGGTTCTGATATTCTATATCTAAGACATATTCATCAATTGGGATTTAAATTATAGTTCATTGTCGGGACGAGCTAATACGTATAAAATATCCGAAGTTCTTTGGCGTTGGTTATTGTGAGTTGAGATGTTTTCTGTCGTAAACGTTGCAAAATATGTTTCAACCCCTTCGGTTATTCAATGCAATAGTAGTAAATAAGCGTACAACTTTATTTATACTAGGGGATGTCTTAAGTTGGGATAACTTGTGCCCACACCTTTTCATGAGAACAAAATATGTGTACGTAAAACTAACAAATTAAGGTAAGTACAAATAATCTCTGAACTTCCCACACAATGTTGTGTACACAGAAGCAGTGTTGTCTGATTCATGATTCTTCTAGTTGCAATAACAATTGATAAATAGAGACGCCAGATGTACAATGTGGCTCTCTTTTGACCAAGGTACGTGTGTGTCCGTACATATATATGAACAACATATGAACAATTGCCATCGGTCTGTACACACAATATGTAATGGCAAAATTGATGCATTTAAATGATTCATTAACAACCAAAGTTTGATTGTGATCATGAATAAATGATCGTGCCACTCCACTCCACTCCACTCCACTCCACTCCACTCCACTCCACTCCACACCAATCCACATTGTAACGAGGTGATGTCCAAATTGAAACGTGCAAAGGTAAACCAAGAGAGCGGTTCATACAGATTTAAATGTTCATTTCGCAAAGAGCCTAAAATGTGCTCCACTGAGCGAAATTACATCTTAAACGTTGATCATTTTACGATTGAGATTTATAAAAAGATTATTACCTTCGTGTATTTCCGTATCGTAAATATCAATTAATGGGAATATAAAAATATTATGATCGCCAATGGCTCGCATGATACTAGTATTATTTTTAACGTATTATATTAATGGTATGAAAATACACAGAGCTAATAATCTTTGTACACTGTCTGATCGATCATTGGTCTAGGTTCCTAGAGCTTATACTCCAGATACAGATGGTATGATGTCAGCCCAGCTGACGAGGCTAATGTCCTTGTCACAATGGCTCGCACCACGCATCATCTGTAGAATCTTTCATTGTCGTAGGCACAGAGTGGAGCAGGGAGTTTTGTTTCACGAAGATAAGAAAGTGCTTACAGTAATGCAATTGTATTCACTAAAAGGGGAGACAAGCTCTATAGTTCATACCAAGAGATACGATCCTACGTTAGCAACACTATGGCTGCAGTAAAACCTATGTTGAAAAATAATAGAGTTATGTCCCTTTGATTGTGTTACAGAACTGAACAGCTGCGTTGCTGCTATGTTTATCGCGTGTATAGTTACGAATTGTATGTCAATACTTTACTTTGCTTTGTTACGACGACTTGCCGTGGAGAAAACATATAATAAGACTGGGATAGCTTCTAACAAAAGCGGGCCGTGAAGATCCGGGGTAGCAGATACCTCACCATACTTTGACCCCTGCTTGCTATAAAAAGGCGACCCTGCTTTTCGTAAAAGGCGACTAACGGAATCGGATGGTCAGGCTCGCTGACTTGGTTGATGCATGTCATCGATCACAATTGCGTGAATCGGTGCTTATGATATCAATCACTGGATTGTCTGGTCCAGAGTCGATTATTTACAGACCGCCGTCATATCGCTGGAATATTGCTGAGTGCGGCGAAAAACAACAAACCAACCAAACCAACAACCAACCAAATTGCGTGGATCGATGTTCATGATATCAATCACTGGATTGTCTGGTCCAGACCGCCGTCATATCGCTGGAATATTGCTGAGTGCGGCGTTAAACAACAAACCAACCAACAACCAAATCTTAATTGCGTGTTGATCCCGTATGGTGAGCCAGAGTGACATTGTCTCTACATCTCCTCCAGTGTCAGGCGGAACAATGCAAGCATGTCCACATGGTTTATTGTGACGCAGACTTGAGTTGAAGAGATATTTTGACCCGTGAAGATCCGGGTTAGAGGAGGTCTTCAGCAAACCGTGCTTGTCGTAAGAGGCAACTAACGGGATCGGGTGGTAAGGCTTGTTGAGGTATCTGCTGCTGTAGGGGTTGGTGAGGTATCTGGTGCTGTAGGGGTTAGTGAGGTATCTGCTGCTGTAGGGGTTAGTGAGGTATCTGCTGCTGCAGGGGTTGGTGAGGTATCTGCTGCTGTAGGGGTTAGTGAGGTATCTGCTGCTGTAGGGGTTAGTGAGGTATCTGCTGCTGTAGGGGTTAGTGAGGTATCTGCTGCTGTAGGGGTTAGTGGGGTATCTGCTGCTGCAGGGGTTGGTGAGGTATCTGCTGCTGTAGGGGTTAGTGAGGTATCTGCTGCTGTAGGGGTTAGTGAGGTATCTGCTGCTGCAGGGGTTGGTGAGGTATCTGCTGCTGTAGGGGTTAGTGATGTATCTGCTGCTGTAGGGGTTAGTGATGTATCTGCTGCTGTAGGGGTTAGTGAGGCATCCGGTGCTGCTGCTGCAGGGGTTGATGAGGTATCTGCTGCTGCTGCAGGGGTTGGTGAGGTATCTGGTGCTTCTGCTGCAGGGGTTGGTGAGGTATCTGCTGCTGCAGGGGTTGGTGAGGTATCTGCTGCTGCTGCAGGGGTTGGTGAGGTATCTGCTGCTGCAGGGGTTGATGAGGTATCTGCTGCTGCTGCAGGGGTTGGTGAGGTATCTGGTGCTGCTGCTGCAGGGGTTGATGAGGTATCTGCTGCTGCTGCAGGGGTTGGTGAGGTATCTGGTGCTGCTGCTGCAGGGGTTGGTGAGGTATCTGCTGCTGCAGGGGTTGGTGAGGTATCTGCTGCTGCTGCAGGGGTTGGTGGGGTATCTGCTGCTGCAGGGGTTGATGAGGTATCTGCTGCTGCAGGGGTTGGTGAGGTATCTGCTGCTGCAGGGGTTGCTGGGGTATCTGCTGCTGCAGGGGTTGGTGAGGTATCTGCTGCTGCAGGGGTTGGTGAGGTATCTGCTGCTGCTGCAGGGGTTGGTGAGGTATCTGCTGCTGCAGGGGTTGGTGAAGTATCTGCTGCTGCAGGGGTTGGTGAGGTATCTGCTGCTGCTGCAGGGGTTGGTGGGGTATCTGCTGCTGCAGGGGTTGGTGGGGTATCTGCTGCTGCAGGGGTTGGTGGGGTATCTGCTGCTGCAGGGGTTGGTGGGGTATCTGCTGCTGCAGGGGTTGGTGAAGTATCTGCTGCTGCAGGGGTTGGTGAGGTATCTGCTGCTGCTGCAGGGGTTGGTGGGGTATCTGCTGCTGCAGGGGTTGGTGGGGTATCTGCTGCTGCAGGGGTTGGTGGGGTATCTGCTGCTGCAGGGGTTGTGGGGTATCTGCTGCTGCAGGTGTTGGTGAGGTATCTGCTGCTGCTGCAGGGGTTGGTGGGGTATCTGCTGCTGCAGGGGTTGATGAGGTATCTGCTGCTGCAGGGGTTGGTGAGGTATCTGCTGCTGCAGGGGTTGCTGGGGTATCTGCTGCTGCAGGGGTTGGTGAGGTATCTGCTGCTGCAGGGGTTGGTGAGGTATCTGCTGCTGCTGCAGGGGTTGGTGAGGTATCTGCTGCTGCAGGGGTTGGTGAAGTATCTGCTGCTGCAGGGGTTGGTGAGGTATCTGCTGCTGCTGCAGGGGTTGGTGGGGTATCTGCTGCTGCAGGGGTTGGTGGGGTATCTGCTGCTGCAGGGGTTGGTGGGGTATCTGCTGCTGCAGGGGTTGGTGGGGTATCTGCTGCTGCAGGGGTTGGTGAAGTATCTGCTGCTGCAGGGGTTGGTGAGGTATCTGCTGCTGCTGCAGGGGTTGGTGGGGTATCTGCTGCTGCAGGGGTTGGTGGGGTATCTGCTGCTGCAGGGGTTGGTGGGGTATCTGCTGCTGCAGGGGTTGTGGGGTATCTGCTGCTGCAGGTGTTGGTGAGGTATCTGCTGCTGCAGGGGTTGATGAGGTATCTGCTGCTGCTGCAGGGGTTGGTGAGGTATCTGCTGCTGCAGGGGTTGGTGGGGTATCTGCTGCTGCAGGGGTTGGTGAAGTATCTGCTGCTGCAGGGGTTGGTGAGGTATCTGCTGCTGCTGCAGGGGTTGGTGGGGTATCTGCTGCTGCAGGGGTTGTGGGGTATCTGCTGCTGCAGGGGTTGGTTAGGTATCTGCTGCTGCTGCAGGGGTTGGTGAGGTATCTGCTGCTGCTGCAGGGGTTGGTGAGGTATCTGCTGCTGCTGCAGGGGTTGGTGAGGTATCTGCTGCTGCAGGGGTTGGTGGGGTATCTGCTGCTGCAGGGGTTGGTGAGGTATCTGCTGCTGCTGCAGGGGTTGGTGAGGTATCTGCTGCTGCTTCAGGGGTTGGTGAGATATCTGCTGCTGCTGCAGGGGTTGGTGAGGTATCTGCTGCTGCAGGGGTTGGTGAAGTATCTGCTGCTGCAGGGGTTGGTGAGGTATCTGCTGCTGCAGGGGTTGCCAAACATGTTCGTGCATTGTTTCAGTGGTCGTTTTCATTTTGAATGTGTTTTATTGTCTCTGATTTCTGGAACTTGAAATTATGTTATTATGATATATTTTCATCTACATGAGTAGGTTCATTGTCAAGTTATTCAACATATTTTGAATTAGCTATAACGTTTTTGGAATGTTTTGAGCACCAAAGTAATGTGCACTCTTCCAGTTGCATTAAAATGACTAATGATACGTGTACTAGAAGTACTACGGTAATGCGCGAAAATGTATTACCGTAATGCATCTAAAATACGTTCCTCATTAATGTTGCATCATTCAAAAAGCTGACATTAGCATTGCTGATAGCGTGTAATGGACTTAGGGAGTCTGATAGGATGGCTGCCTTTGCTTCCGGTAGTTCCAGTATGTTGAATTGCCTTCAGGCAGGTGGAGCGAATGTGCTTGGGGTTTGGAACTATGGATATGGATCCCGTAACCAGCATTGTTGTTTCTAGGATTCTTGGATATGTCAGTGTATATGATACACCAGTTTGCATTTTAGTGATAGCTACTGGTCGTAGAAGGATTGTGTCTTCTGTTTTTGTGAAGTCTAATGTTAAAGCAGTGTCCAGGGAGGGTGTAGAACTAATTGTGGTGGCTGAATGCCATCACAATTGTGACTTCGGATGAGCTCACGTACCAATATCCCAGATGGCTTTAGTGAGGGACTTGTTCGGAGCTAGGGCCTCATCTCGGGAGTTTTAATCTTGTTTTTGTCAAAACGATTAATACTGCCTGCTCCCTTTTAGTTTGAATGGAAGTTCTTGTGAAGTGTCTGTTGTTGCACCTGGGGTTAGTGGCTCAAGACTGAGTTTGATGCCGAGTGAAAAGCCTCACAACCATAGCCTATTTATGATCTGACAAGTGATTTTGTAGAGGTCCAGCTGAAAGTCCCTAGAGGTACCCCAAGAGTGGTGCTTGAAATTGCCCACAATACGTTCGGGTCATTATGACATCTGTTTACAACAATTTCTTTGTGTTTGCTCTAAGTGAGGTTTTGATCTAGGATCACGCCAAGATTAATTTTCTTGAGGGAGGCCTCGTGTATTAAAGTACCTTAAAGGAAGTGTACAGGCTGCTAAGGCTGAGAAGGGATGAGAGTGAAATAAGGTCAAAGTTATATCACCTATATGCTCTTGGGTGTATAATAGAGACTACCTATGTGTTGACAATACATAAACAGACTTGGTGCATCATGGGAAAGACGCATTGGTTACAAAAAGGCTCATGTATTACCTTGAAACTGGCAACCACATCAAGCCTAATCAAAGTGGCTTCTGAAATGTATACACATATCAAGATCATATACTAAGACCAGAAAATGATTTTAAAAAGCTCAATTTAACAGAAAATACCTAGGCGCAGTATGTCTGGACTTCCGCAAAGCCTTCAACATGGTATGGCGCAACAGACTCCTCACAAACCTAGCACAAAATGAAGTAGAAGAGAATATGGCAAACTTCATAGACAGGTCCTGCAAGACAGGTCGCTATCAGTTAAAATAGGGAACAATCGATCTGATCCTATGTCACTGGACAATGGCATGCTTACAAGGCAGCATTATAAGCCCAACCCTGTTTAACACAATGTTCAATGATCTTTTTGATAATGTCAATTCTCCTTCCCAAGCTTATAAATTCGCTCATGACGGAACAATATGGGTAAAAGACAGAGATATTTCACAAATCAGAAAAAACGCCAGTCCGCCATGGACGGAGTAGATCAATGGTTCAATAAATGGGGGTTTACCCTTTCAAGTGAAATAAACATTAGTTCTATCAAAACACAGGGATAAAGATGCTATGATACCCCATGTCTCAATAAAAGGAAAACCAATCAAATTCGAAAAATCCACAAACTTCTTTGGGGTGATCCTAGATCAACTCTTCACTTGGATCAAACATATAGAATACGTGGAGGACAGATGACATAAGGACCTGGACGTATTGCGGGAAATGTCTGGCACATCTTGGGGTACCTCGACCGACATTCAGCTGGACCTCTACAAATCATTTATCAGATCAAAATTTGACTATAGTTGTGAGGCATGTCAATCAGCATCAAAAACTGTCTTGAGCCGCCTCAACAGAATACAACACAAAGCTCAAATGCTAACCAAAGGTGCAACAACAGGTACTATAACAGAAGCACTACAAGTAGAAACTAAGAAGGGAGCAGGCAATATTATCGTTCTTGGGACGAACATCAAACCTCTTGGTGAAAAAGATATGGCAAGACAAAAACAACCGAGAAGAGGCCCTACCTTGGAAAGATCCCTCGATGTGTGTGTCACCTAAGTATGTTGAAGGGTAAATCAATTTGGGTCCCCAAAATATACTCAACAACAAAAGTTCCTGTGACACCAATATTTTAGTGTATTTTTCAAACAAGTAAAGTTTGGTTTTCATGTATGGAATCAAGCCACAAATACGCAACTGCTACAGAAATTAAAAGCATGCATTCAAGGCAAAAGTTTACTTTTATGCAAGCCCCATGCATTTTACTACCCAAGAATTGGTATAAAACATGTGCGTTAACTGGATTCCATATGCATTGTTTAGCATCGTGCTGACAACAACCACTCAGAAAAACAACAAAATGACGCAATTATTCAACATTACGAAATGCCACGCCTGTCAGAAAATGAGCGTCTGCGAGCCATTGGTATGCTTGAAGCAGGATCGAGTCAACGTGATGTTGCAAGACAATTTAACGTCCACAGAAACACCATTTGGTGTTTATGGCAACGTTGGCAACAGACGAATGCAGTCAAAGACCATCCTCGGAGTGGCAGGCCACGCGTAACCAATAATCAACAAGACAACTGGATTCGAACAACACACCTACGAAATCGATTCCAGCCAGGTAACAGTGACTGCAAGAAGCATGCCTGGCCTTCGACGAATATCTTCACAAATCGTACGTCGTCGCCTCAGATGTGCAGGGATTGTCACCAGAAGACCCGCCAGACGTCCCATTTTGACAGTAAACCACCGTCAAGCACGTCTACAGTGGAGACAAGTTCTCTTCACTGACGAGTCTCGTTTTCACCTCAGCCACAGCGATGGACGGATTCGAGTGTACCGACGTCGGGGTGAACGTCAATCATTGTGTCATGGAAGAAGATCGGTTCGGGGACGGCAGCGTTATGGTATGGGGTGGGATTACAGCAAGACAGAGGACCCGTTTGATAGTGGTAGAGGGAGATCTTAACGGACAGCGCTACCGCGACGAGATCATCGGCCCTGTTGTTCTACCGTTTTTGCGTCGTCATGGCCCAGGCATTACCTTTCAACATGACAAAGCCCAGCCTCATATTGCTTGACTTGTTCAGGAATCTCTTCAACAGAACAACGTGAATGTCATTCCCTGGCCGGCCCGCTCCCCTGATCTCTCACCAATCGAGCACATGTGGGATGAGATGGATCGGCGCCTTCCACGTCAACAACGTGTTCCACAGACACTCCAGGAACTTCGAAACATGCTCCAGCAGATATGGACAGATATCCTACAGGACTTTGTGCGACGCCTGGTCCATTCCATGAGACGAAGATGTGTTGCTTGCATCGCAACCAGAGGTGTACACACACGCTATTGATTTGTAAATTGACATTTTGGCATGTTCATGTTGTTTTTTTATGAAATCACGCATTTTCAGTATGTCAGTATTGCAACTTAAACCATCTGAATACTTACAGGAATCTTTTATCTGTTGCAAACCGAAATTGTTTCAGATTTGGTTTTTTACACAACTTTGCATTAAATCTTATTCAATGTCACAGGAACTTTTGTTCAGTATATGACAATTAGTATCCTTGATCAATACTTTGGTAACAGTTTGATAAATGAGAAATCAAGTTTCAACACAGTTCAAAAGTAAAATATGTCCTGTCGTAAATACAGGTAGATTCATGGCTAGCAGTAATGCTGGACTTAGTTAACACTCGGTCAGGTTTGGTCCTTATGAAATGACAAATATACATGTAACCCTAATGTTTGTAGTTAAATGCGAAACCCTTGTATGCGAGGTATGCATTAAAATAACTAATCACACGAAATGCGCGAAAGTGAATTACACTAAATGCGTCCATCATTAATTTTGCATCATTTCAAGCTGACCATTAGCATTTTGAGTCTCTACGTATTGTTTGGGTTATTTTATCGTTGTTAAATTTGGAAACAAGCTCCAGCATGATGCCGTTTAGGTTTTAATGTATAATGTACAAAACCCTTTTATATTCTGCTAATCATGAATAGTTATATGATTGGTTGGTTGGTTGGTTGGTTTGTTGTTTAACGCCGCACTCAGCAATATTCCAGCTATATGACATGCATCAACCAAGTCAGCGAGCCTGACCACCCGATCCCGTTAGTCGCCTTTTACGACAAGCATAGTCACCTTTTACGGCAAGCATGGGTTGCTGACGACCTGTTCTACCCCGGAATCTTCACGGGTCGAATAGTTATATCAAGCCAAGATGTTTATGACAGTGATCTGTAACAATGTAAATTATGATTATTTGATATGTTTATATGATTAATTGAATTGAAATGTTTATCGTGACACATCATGAGATTTGGGTTGGTTTGTGATGTTCATATGATCATTTTATGTTGTAATTTACTTATTATTCTTAAATAGATTTATTACTTTTGCATTAATGATCAATATAAAGTTGAAATGTTCACTTTATTCTTTTTCAATCAGCATGACCAGTATTCATAATTTGATCAGGCACAGGCAATAAACATGAAAATGTGCCTATTATTTTAATAAAGTGATGCATTGTATAAATTCACTCGCTAATAATTAATTAGCTTTAGATGACAAGTATAATATAAAATGAAAAACATATTTATAATAAATATTTACCATTTGAAGAAATTATCTGATGTAATTATTTAGATGCAACTGTCACTCCAGATAACTGTCTTCAAATTTCGCGCTAATTTCTTTAATTAGAGGGCTGCGTATTTTCAGCCAATCAGGTGCCTCGCTCGATTCTGCCCGCATTTGAAATCTACTTCCGCTCGGGGTTGGTAACATTTTTTCAGCTCGCGAAATATACTGTCGATTTTTCGGTAAGTAAGGTACATTAATCGAATGTAGATGACTTGCACATGTGTAGAATTGAGTTATTTATCAATCTACGGCAAGAAATGCGCTTGTCAATAAGCGTATAATAGAAAAGTCGCCTTGGATATCGAATGTAAACAAACCGGCAAGATGGCGAGTGACCATCCTTCTTCTTTTTTTGTACTTGCATTCAGGGGGTATATATTTTTATTTACTGACCAATATCGAGTTCCTGTGATTAAAACTAACACTTGCAAATAGTTCATATCACTGTATCTGATTTAAATACAACTTGATCAAAGTTTTGAAATAAATGCATTCATCTAGGTTATAAATATATTACTTCAATAACTTGCATTCTTGTCATGAAAGGATGATCATTATTCAAAGGTATAACCCCAGGGAGATTAATGTTCTTTATGTTTCAAACAAATTGTTATAATACTGAAAATAGAATATTGTTATTGAATACACTCATTACAAAAAAACATAATCAGTATATCCCCAACATGTATGTTTGTATGTATGTTGTTTAATGCCGCACTCAGCAATATTCCAGCTATATCACAGCAGTCTTTAAATATTCGAGCCAGGAGACCAGACAATCCAGTGATTAATATCATGAGCAGCGATCAACACAATTGGGATTGATGACATGCATCAACCAAGTTAGCGAGCCTGACCACCCGATCCCGTTAGTCGCCTTTTACGGCAAGCATGGGTTGATGAAGACTTATTCTACCCTGGATCTTCACGTGTCTGTAATGTATGTGTGTGTGTGTGCATGTATGTAGGTATGTATGTGCCATAAGCCGACATGAATTTCTTTTCTTTTAGGTCAGCAAAAATATATACATGCTAAAACATTGTATAAACAGCATTAGACAAGCATAATAATTGTCAAATTATTTACATTGAAATAGACAATTTTCACATTTCATCATTTTGCATGTAACAAGAAAACAAAACAGCAATAAGACCTTCAAGCTCACCTATTTTATACTGGGTCATTCTTACATCAACTAATCTCAGCCTCAGATCATGATTATTATTTTTGAAAACACTTATGGCATAATTTCAAGGACAGTTTCATTAACACAGCTTGTTTGAATATGAGTGTTGTTTGAACTTACTGATGGAACAGATGGACACGTAGTATTTTACCTTAATAGCATGGAGAAATAATACATTGTATACAACATGTACAATGCCTCTCATGGCTCTTGGTTGTTCATTTACTGACTATTTCATGTTCCCCGTTTGCATCATGTACCTCTACACAAGGGATGTAACAATTTATGTATGTATGTATGTTATGTATGTGTTTAAACCTGTTGTTAGGATACACAATAACCTATGGATGTATCGATTCATGTTTTAATTCTGTAACAAAAATTCAAAAGGATAGTATTTACATTTTGCAACAACCTGGCCTTATAACTACTCCGGCTATCAAATATATTCACCTTTTCACGAACACCTGATATCATCACTATTTGATGGTGATTGATGAACACATGCTTATGGTATAGTCCAAAACATAAAATGAACTCTTCTTTCAGTAAAGGTTATGGAATGTTTTTGTCACTTTTCTTTACATACATACTAGGTTGTAGTGAAACACAAATAATACTTTTTGAAAATTGATACACAATGAAAACAATGTGGATCTGATGTATGAATTTCATCGTCATCAACACCCCTTTATGGGACTCACTCCACCGTCGAAAATACAATGTGGAGGTACCCTGAGGTGTTTTAAACTTGAAATAAAAAAAACATTTTGAATATTTAAACAGAATTCAAACATGAAAAGCTTCAACACCCCTTTATGGGACTCACTCCACCGTCGAAAATACAATGTGGAGGGACCCTGAGGTGTTTTAGACTTGAAATAAAAAAACATTATGAAAATTTACAGAGAATTCAAACATGAACAGATTTAACACCCCTTCATAGGACAGACTCCACCGACGAAACTACAATGTGGAGGGGCCCTGTGAAATAACGACAGCAAAATCAATTCCAGATTCATAAGAAATCTCTGCTAAAAGTAGGGTCTATCTTGTGTTTCTCACCATATCATAAGCATCTGTTTATGAATTACTGTCAAATAGTTATGGAACCACTTGTTTCTAAATACATGAGTGCACCATTTCTTTCAACAGTACAAATTAGATCAGGTTGTTGCAAATGTAAATACCACTTCTTAAATATTGGATACAGTTAAAACATGAATCGATACATCCGTAGGTTATTGTGTGCCCTATCATCAGGTATAAACATATAGATACATCAGTGAATTGTGACATTCCTTGTGTACAGGTACATGATGCACACAGGGAATATTAAATAGGCAGTCCCCAATGAACAACCAAGGGCCATGATGATACACTGTAATATTTCTCCATGCCATTATGGTAAAATACCACGTCTCCATCAGTTTAATCAGTAACTTTAAACTGTAAGCGTCATTTTATTCTACACATATTCAAACAAACCTATGGGCAATGAATCTGTCCTTGGTTTTATCGTATTAGAATGTGTGACATGTAGTACATAGAAAAATTGAGAAAGTGCCATAAGCTGACATGAATTTCTTTTCTTTTATGTCAGCTAAAATATATACATGCTAAAATCTATACATAGAAATAACATAAACACAGAAAAAGAAGTATATATTAACAGTATACAAAACAAACACTCCCACATCTTGTACAATCAATAGTATTACATTTTCAACAAATATCCTCCTTGTAAGATAACAAGTTGGTATTTTGTGTGTTGGTTGGTTGGTTTGTTGTTAAACGTCGCACTCAGCAATATTCCAGCTATATGACGGCGGTCTGTAAATAATCGAGTCTATACCAGACAATCCAGTGATTAACATCATGAACATCGATCCACACAATTGGAATCGATGACATGTATGAACCAAGTCAGCGAGCCTGACCACCCGATCCCGTCAGTCGCCTTTTACGGCAAGCATGGGTTGCTGAAGACCTATTCTACCCCGGATCTTTACGGGTCTTGTGTGTTGGCCTAATCATGATAATAAAGAACAAGTCTTACATATTTTGTACAAACTGCTTTTACTACAAATGTCATTATTTATAAATACAGATGATAATAATATGTCAGTGTCTTTCATTAAACAAGATTTACAAATTGGTTTAGATTAGTACTTTTCAGATATACATGTTTATATTTCTTAAATATATATATACATAATATGTACAGTGCACCTCATGTACATATGATATTATACACAAAATAATTGAGCATGTGCAATAGCTTGACATGAACTGCATGAAACATATCAGTGTCTTTTCAATCAATAAAAGGGCATTATTGCCATGATTGCCCCATTGTTTTATCAAGTACAATGTAGAATCAATGTAATTTTCAACAATTATATTCCTTGTAAAATGAGAAGTTGGCCTCAAGTCCATATTCATGATAATACATGTAGAGTCCATTCATATTATGTAGAAGATGCTTTCGCAATAAAAGTCACGAAGATAAATACAGGTCTATAATTATGATAAACACAAGTACAATTCATTTGTTTGTATGTTGTTTAATGCAGCACTCACCAATATTCCAGCTATGTGATGGCAGTCTATAAATAATCAAGTCTGGACCAGACACTCCAGTGATTGACATCATGAGCTTTAACATTGTTTAATCCACACAATTGTGATAAAATGACATCTGATAACTGCTGCATCACTCTGAATACGTTTTTTCACATGACCAAGGTCATTTTCCAATGTTACTAATGGACTACGGCGTTTCTCATCAGAAACCCTTGATAGTTCAGATTTTGGCAGCACTCTGTATTCTGAGCAAAACGTTGCAAGACACATGTTATCACTCGTCACCTTTGGGTCTGCTCTTGTATCGATCAACAATGCTTGTCATCCACATTTCATCTTCATCTAGTTCACCACTCTGTCGTTGGTTCTGCAGGGTTTTAAGAGGCAAACTCATTCAGTTGGAATGAACTGTACTTTACGTGAGGGGCGGTCGGGTAGCCTAGTGGTTAAAGCGTTCGCTCGTCACGCCGAAGACCCGGGTTTGATTCCCGGCATGGGTACAATGTGTGAGGCCCATTTCTGGTGTCCCCCGCCGTGATTTTGCTGGAATATTGCTAAAAGCGGCGTAAAACCAAACTCACTCACTCACTCATTTTACGTGATCCTTCCCCTTCAATCTCAAATTACAAACTCGAAAGACAGTTTCCTGAGCACTCACTTCTCTATTGTGTAGGTATACAGCACCAACTTTCTTGAGAGCAGATTTTGCATTAGTGATACCCTTATTTGCTTCTTTTTCTGCATTATTCAACAGTAATCCCATTTCTCTTTCTGCCTTTGAAATATATGAAATGATGTAGACAACACAAGAGTAGGCATCAACTATATACTTAATGTCCATGTTCGCATTCCAACATCTGAGCAGATCTGGCTTGTACTGATTGACACATACATCATTGGGATTGTGTTTCATCACAACATTTGTCTTTTTGGATAGAGTATCACATGCTAGTTGAAATATGTCTTGCGAAACAACAATGGCGGAGAACAATGCATCAACTACTGACTCAAATGTTTGCTCATCATCTGTTGGTCCTTGCCAAATCAGTTTCAAAATTGTTTGAGCGTCTGGTATGGCCCTCACTTTCATATTCATTAGATCTTCACAGGTTTGGGGCAAATCATTTTTTTGTTCTTTGTCAAGACAACCTGCTCGTGATATGAACGTTTCATTGCTTGGGGGACGAGGAAAATTGAATCTGCAGATTGTGCCATTTTTTTTTGCATGTCTTTGAATGTCTTTTACTATGTTTTTGTACACTGTTGATGATATTAAACAATTCTTCATCATTCTCAACTGAAGGCATCTCACATGTGACATATTAATCAATGAAAGATGTTACTGTCTCATCATTATCTTTATCAATCTTTGGAGCATTGTCAACCCAGAAAAGGCAGTGAGTGTGAGGGGAACCTGGAATGCTGGAATTCTACACGATAGATGTAATCTTTTATCTTTCCAGTATGTTCAGCTGGTGACATGATTACCTCTTTCAAGAAGCAATGGAATCTTTGGTCAAACATTCGGGCTGCTGTCACTGGATTTTTCCTGAGTACAGAACATTTTTCAGACCAGTCAAGTTCAGTGGCTTTGCGTTTATCACCTGCTTCTCTGAGTATTGTTTCAATCATTTCTGGCCATCTCATGTCAGCTGATGAAAATGAACAAAACCAAGTTGGAATACCCAGTTGTCTTATCATTGCAAATAAATCTTTCAGAGCAGACTGCCAGTATGATGGAGTTCCTCTGAAAGGTTTCAAGAACTTGTAGCCTTCATCACATTTTAATATCTCTCTCAGAGAATCAGAATCTGTAAGGTTTTCAGATGTAACATCTCTACCTTGTGAATGGATCCCTTTCGCATTGCAATGGAAACATTTGACATAACTTGTTCAATTTCAGAAAGATACTGTGCATAAAATATGTAGTCAGTGTTTTGAGCAAATCGACTATCAGCATTCATGAGGCGTGTATGTAGAGAACGTGCAAGTGTTATTCACAGGATCTCGATAATAGCGTGTATAATAAAATATATTCGTATAGAAAAAAATCACTCCCCTCTATATACATAGAGACAAGGAGTGACACCCGCCATCTTGGTTTTTATTCAAGATTTCGCACTCGGTTCGAATCATAGCTCATTTTAGCATGAAATATGAATGTCACTTATTTAACCTATTGGAACTTTCTAAACAAACCTCAGGCAACACAATCTGTTTATCTGTGGTCACCTTACCTCGTATATATTTTAAAACAACGATCAAATCTCAACCCTAAGCTTCGCCGCCGAGGTAAACAAGAAAAAGGTGGCCGGAAATAACGGCGCTACACGGGTTTGAACTCGCCAAACGTTTCTGATTGGCTACAACAAAAAGTAGTGGATCGAAATATTAGCACACAGTGAAAGGAGGAAAATTCAAAACCGCCATTGGTAGGCCCGCTTGCAAAATATTGGGTCTGACAATGAAATCTGCAGCATAATTAAACATTCCGAAGCAGATTATCATTGACGGTCTGGAATTTCCCTCCCTTCACCAAGTGCTGATATTATGATACACATTTCAACCAATCAGAAACGCTGGCTAAGTTCAAGCCCGTGTCGCGCCGTAATTTCCGGCCACCCTTTTCTTGTTTACCTCAGAGGCGCAGCATAGAGCTGACATTTGATGGCTGTTTTAAAATAAATACGAGGTAAGGTGACCACAGAAGAACATGATTGTATAGCCTATGTTTTGTTTAGCAGGTGCCAATAGGTTGAAATAAGTGACATTCATATTTCATGCGATTTCTTTTGTTAAATTATATTGAGCATGTTGAGGGTTTTAAATTAAAAATACATAGGAAACGGTAACAAAGGGAGATGACTCTACTCTATTCTACATAGGACTTTGTGTTCGTAAATTACATAGCATTTTCAAGCTCAAGTCATAAGTTTGCTAAATGCTACTTGGAGAATAAAGAGCATCCAAGAAGCATGACCACAGGACTACTAACGTGCGCATGCGCCTTGACATTATGACATTTCGCATGCGCACGGACAGCGTCTAAAACGCGAGAAAATGAAATGTCGCGTTCTCGCAATTCCGTGTCTTTGTGGCCTAATTTTACAGTGCGAGATTGCGAAATTTTTCATCATGTCCGAATGTCGAATTCTCTCGCGTTGTCGACTTTTGACAAAATGTGCTATGTATCAAAACCACGAGAATGTGAAAAGTCGAGAATGCGAGAACAGTTTTGGACGTTATGAATACGTTACAAGGGATGGTTATGACACAAACTGTGAGCTTCATTGTCATCTTTCTTTTCTTTCTAATCAGTTCGGGGGCACAGGTGGCCCAGTCGTCTAAGGCGCCGCGATTCGCTGTGCAGAGTTGCGTCCCTTGGGTACGCCAGAAACCCATGATTGTTGGTTCCAATCCCGGTTCGCCCCGATTATGCTTCTAGGTTTGTCAGCACCATACCCGTGCTCGTGGGTTTCACCGAAGTGGTAAACGTCTAAGACCTGCATCACTTCGAGCTTTCCTCCCACATTAAGCTGACACGCCGTGATATAACTGGAATACTGTTAAAAGCGGCGGTCAACCCGACTCACTCACTTCCTTCTAATCAGTTCAGTCATGAATTGTTGGTTAGGCATTACTTAGAAGTTGACGGTTGCCAAAGTAGACACAATTTATGGATAACAACTTCTTTAATACTGTAAAGGCGACGTTTCAGTATAAATCTTTACACAGTTGTCAAGAAATACAGAAAGTCAAGAAAGTCTTCCTTGACAACGGTATAAGGATCTATACAGAAACGTTGCCTTTACAGTATTAAAGAAGTTGTTATCCATAAATTGTGTCTACTTTGTCAGTTCAGTCAATTAAAACATGTATGTGTTAACTGTTTCAACAATGTTTTTAGACGAAAGCAAGGTGGATTCATTGGGATATGCTGTGAGTGTGTGTATGTGTGTGTGTGTGTGTGTGTGTGTAATTCTAGATGCGACTATCAATTTCTGACGATAGTGAGTGAGTGAGTTGGGTTTAACGCCGCTTTTAACATTTTTCCAGTTATATCACGTGTCAGCTTAATGATGCAGGTTTCAGACGTTTACCACTTCAGTGAAACCCACGAGGACGGGTATGGTGCTGACAAACCCATAAACATAATTGGGTCGAACCGGGAAGACACGGGAAAGACACGGATTCGAACCCACAATCATAGGTTTCTGGCGTGCCCAAGGGACACAACTCTGCACAGCGAATCGCGGCGCCTTAGACGACTAGGCCACTCGTGCCCCCTTCTGGCGATAGTACAGATAGGCGTTATCTACAATGTAGTTTCGCTTTGACCAACCTAGATGTGTGTGTTATATGAAATAAACTGACAGTATGTACATGTAGCGGCAAAACTGATGAATTCAAATGATTCTAACTCTGCTACTCAGTAATTCAAACAATGAAGTTATGTTCATAGGGAGGGAAAACTGGAATCTGATGTTCTAATTATTATAATGCAATCGTATGCCGTGTTAATGTCAAACATTATATGTATAAACTCGCACACGCAAATATGATATTCTCATCGAAAGATCACCGTTTAATTATTCAAACCAGTGACAGTGTCTGAGGTTTCCACTGGCGTAATGAAAGTGTAATGGGTTGATGGACATTTATTTATGAAATTCTTCTTAATCGTGTAGACGTTGGCAAGGGAACAATAGGATACCTTACACACAAAGAACCTATTCAGGTAGACGGTTACTTGATACATGTCACCGTGTGTTAACAGTACGTTGTAAGCTAAACACGTGTCTGTGTTGTGCAGTGTAGAAACGTGAATAGTGTCAGTTAGTTACGTTAGGAAGTTTCCACTGTGTAGAGGTTAATGAAAGAGAGGATTGTTTAAGGCATAAAACACAAACATTTTGAATTAAACATTAACTGGATGCATGTCTTGATCACAGTGCCTGGCAAAAACAAAAGGTGATGATACTGTTAATCAATTCAATATTCCGGAGAGGGGTGTTGGGGTGGGTTGGGTTGGTTCTAACTGGAAGTTTTGTTGAGCTAATGCGTTAAAATATGCATTTGCTAACTCAGAAATCGTTTTATTTATCTTTATTGTTATGATGATTATTATTATTATTGTTACTGTTGTGGTCGTTGTTGTTCTTACTTGTGGGGGAGGTTTTGGGAGGAGGGGTGTGAGAGGTGATGCAATAAACCCTGAGGCGAATATAAGAGGTTTAATTTTTTTTCAGGCCAGAATTTCACGAAAGGATAGCTTACAACTGAATAATAATTGAAAAATAACACCTGCAGCAGCTATGTCCATCCGGCTTTTCTATTCTGCGATAAGAACACATCTACGGTTGCACAAGGGATTTGCAGCTGTTCCAGTGAGATACTATGCAGATATTCCGAAAGCATATCGCCCGTATGGAAAAACAGGCGACGGAAATTACGGATCAACACTCGGAAAACACAATGTTGGATACGTCGAACCAGTACGAGAAAAGATTCTCACTTTGGCCAAAACCATTCCTTTCACTTCCAAGGACTCAGTCTTCAACATTGGCGACTATGGTGCAGCTGATGGATCCACCGCCATGGCCATTTTCGGTGAGTTGTTGGCAACTTTGAAAGATCATCATGGCCCCGACACCCAGTTCCAGGTTATCTATGAAGATTCGGAAATGAATGACTTCAACTCCCTGTTCAAACGTATGTCAGGAATCATCCCTGATCCGCCGTCCTACCTTCTGGAAATGGACAACGTCTATGTTCTTGCTTCAGGGACAAACTTCTATCAGCAGTGTGTGCCTTCAAACTCAATGCATTTCATCATGTGCATGGCATCTATCCACTGGTTGTCGAAGACTCCAACGACCTATAAGGACTCAATATACAAAGATGACATGAGTAGTGCTGAGGAGAAGACTGCACTACACACGCAAGCCGATTTGGACTGGGAGACCTTTTTACTGAGAAGAAGTAGAGAACTGAAACAGGGAGGTCTGCTTGTAATAGGTGCCTGCTGTGAGTGTGTGGACAGAAACAGTGGAGAAATTAGACACGTTGCTGATTCTTTTATACGACTGCTGAATGAAGTATGGAAGGAATACAGCCAATCTGGTAAAATCACCAAAGAAGAGTTCTTGAATACAAATTTTTCAACTTGTTTGCATAACATGGACCAGCTGAGAAAACCATTCGATAACAAAATGTCAGCTGTTTCAACATCCGGATTATCAATCTTGTCAGCGGAAACTGTGGTCAGTCCTGGTGTGTTTTACAACGCCTGGAGAAAGAAGAAGGACGAGGAAGGAATTGATGATAGGGAGGAGTTTGCCAGGATGTTTGTATCCGCTCACAGGAACTGGAGCAACAGTACCTTCATGAATGGTCTTTCAGACTCCCGATCACTGGAGGAGAAGGAGAAGATAGTTGATGGCATGTACGACACTGTCAAGAAACGAATTGAAAGGATGAACCCAGAGGCATTCAAGGATGATTTGAGATTTATATATCTTGTGATCAGAAAAGAATAGTCAACCGAGAAGTCATGAAAGAAGAGCAGCCTTAGAGCCATCTTCACAGGCAAACCATCATAGGTAATTACAATAATAGACCTAAATATGTGTAATCAATGTGTAATCCAAAAATAATTGAAGGTGTTCAGAACATATGAAAAAATTTTTTTATACAAAGATACATCTACTGAAAACTTTTTTTTATTATTTGCAGACATGTTTAGAAGTAATGATTTTAGTTTTCCACATATAGAGGTTTGATTTTTATGCTTGCCGTAAAAAGCGCCAATGCTTGTCGTAAGAGACGACTTACGGGATCGGGTGGTCAGGCTCGCTGACTTGGTTGATGCATGTCATAGAATCCCAATTGCGTGGATCGATGCTCATGATATCAATCACTGGATTGTCTGGTCCAGACTCGATTATTTACAGATATAGCTGGAATATTGCTGAGTGCGGCGTGAAATAACAAACAAACAAACAAAGAAAACTAGCATTGAACATTGAATGTAAGCTGTATTACCTGTCGACAAGAATACCACTTTAATGCTCCATGTATCAAACTAGCATACCCTTATGAATTTACAACACCAATATTCTGTAATCTGAAACTTGTTTGTGCTAGTAAAATGCCCAATGTAACTCGTACGATTTGTTGTTGTTGGCTAAGTCTTATCAGTAATAGCAGTAAGATCATCACATTGCAAGCTCCTTTATCAGGTTTACCCTTGCGATGTAATTTCGTAGGGAACGATGTCAACCTTACTCAGTAACGGATCATCCATTTGTAGGCGTGGAAAGCATGCCTTTTGTCATAGCTCTGTCATATAAGGCCACGTAACTGTGGTCAACACACAGTTTATCATCCCATGTCCGTGTTTGAATCTGGGGTTAGTATCAGTTCCTTTCTTTTCAAATGAGCATTAATTTTGCATACATTGTTGAATGTACAGATATGCTTTCATCCGAATACATGGAATCTGACACTAAGTTTGTTTCTTTCTTTGTTTGTTGTTTAACGCTTCACTCAACAATATTCCAGCTCCATGACGGTGGTCTGTAAATAATCGAGTGTTGACCAGACCATTCAATGACATGATGATCATCGATCCGCGCAATCGAGATACGATGACATGCATCAACCAAGTTAGCGAGACTGACCCAGGTGAAGTGAAGTAATATTAACGAAAGGGTGAAAGGACTGATATGGGTCTGTGTATTGGGGTTTGTCCAATGGTTAGCCCTTTATTTCCACAAGTGGAGACACAGGACAGACATATTATGCAGCCAGTACAGGGCTTGTGTATCAGTGGTGTAGGTTACTTAAGAAATAAACGACGAGTGGGAGTTGTTTTATTGTACCGTAAAACTGCAGGGACAACCATAAGCCATAAACCACAAGGGGCTCAGCCCTGAGTGGTTAAACTCCCTCCAGTGTTTTATTGTACGATAAACAAGTCGTGTATTTCTTATGTTAGATATCAACATTATGTATGGCAACTTTCAGGATGTTGATAAAATGTGCCTGCTTTAAAAATAGTTAGCTTAATATTGAAAATGATGACACTCTGAATAGAATCCGACCTCGGCAATGTCGGACAAGTCTATTTGAATATCTGTACCTTTTCTTTTAATAACGATTATCCCATTCTCCCACTTTTGGATGCGATCGTTTGGCCACTGCGTTTATAGGTGTATACCAGCTACATCTATGGGGAACAACTCACTGGACACTTCTCTCTCAAAAAATATATGATGCGATCACGTTGCGACCGCATATTGGAATCTCCAAAAATGACGTCATGATAGAACAATGCTTTATCGTGCAACCACGCTTCGTTCTCCATTGCTCCTTGCGATTGAGCGTGTAGCTATCTTATATAGTACATTACCCTTTTCTTTGTTTGTGAATCTGACTACCTTGTTCCAATCGATGTTACTTTTATGATGTAAATGGTTGGATCGTGGTCTCCGTGAAGAGCGGCCATTTTTTTTCACGTGTTCGCGTGAATTGACAGACGTCTATGTGTGGCATGTGTGCAGAGATTCTCCTTTTTTATTTTATTTCGAAGTTTTTTATTCCAAAGGAAAATCCCCACCTCACAACTGTCTGGTCACAGTAACCGAGATCGTTACCTCTGAGGTATCCAGTGAAAGTATATTATTATTAACGTATTATTATTATTATTATTATTATTATTATTATTATTATTGACGGCTCCCAAAACGGTACATATTTTCCATTGTCACAAAGTAGTTTTAAAAAATGTAAAAAGTCCTTTCGATCCATATTCTCAGAAAATAAGTTGTCAAATATTAAATGCCCAACATACATTTTACTAATACTTACGGTTGTATGTTATTTGTTTTTGGTTGTTGTTGTTTAAGCCACATTCAGCAGCGTTCCAGCTATATGACGGCGTTCTGTAAATAATAGAGTCTGGACCAGACAATCCAGTGATTGACACCATCAGCATAGATCCACGCATTTGGGATACGAGGACACGAATCAACCACGTCAGCCAGGCTGACAAACCGATCCCGTTTGTCGCCTCCTCTGACCAGCATAGTCGACTCTTATGACAAGCATTGGGTTGTATATTCATATACGGTGTATGAGTGCAACATGGTACAGTGCAAGGGTATATAAACTAGGCCATCAAGTTTATGATTAACAGTAATGCGTTACATGATTACAATGATAATGACAATCTTGATAACTTTGGGAGCGCTAATGTTGAAACTATGTCCCGTTTGGTTGTATAGGGATTCTATTTTTTCATGAAAAGGAACCACTTCAAAACCTTGATTTGGAAGTTGTGCTGGTTACAAGGTTTACCCGAGGTAGTCAGGGACCTAATGTAATACAGGGTAAGACAGAATGGAACAGCTGTTTAGTGCATGTGTTTATCGTGTGTATAAATACGAAATTAGAAACAATGTAATTATTTTACTTTCCATGGATTTGATATGACTGCTGTCAACATGCCTTGGAATATACTTTTGACAAAAGATTCGGACAGATTGTTTCAAAGGCAAACGTGTTTGACGATAGTATTAAAATACAGTGAAAAGTCATTAGGAATCGTTTTCTCCTGAAATTTCAGACCTATTCTGGGATTTATATTTGTTTGTTTGTTTGTTGTTTAACGCCGCACTCAGCAATATTCCAGCTATATGACGGCGGTCTTTAAATAATCGAGTCTGGACCAGCCAATCCAGTGATTGATATCATGAGCATCGATCCACGCAATTGGGATACGATGACATGCATCAACCAAGTCAGCGAGTCTGACCACCCGATCCCGTTAGTCGCCTTTTACGACAAGAATAGTCGCCTTTTACGGGAAGCATGGGTTGCTGAAAAAGTGCTATGTATAAAAAACACGAGAATTTATTTGTGTGCACAATTAGCTCGTTTCCAAAAGTCGAGAATGCGAGATCGCGAGAATGTCCCTCACAGTATTCCATACTCGACACGTTTTTTTCTACAGCGTCATGCGAGATGACAGCTGTTACTTGATGTTATCGCATCCCAGGTTAATACCCTGATCTGCTGACGAGCCCCCACGGGCACAGTGAAAAGGTGTGGTGAATGTAAGTACTAATGTATATTACTGATTATTTATTCTAAAACAACAGTTTTGGACGTTATGAATCCGTAACAAGGGGTGGTTATAACACAAACTGTGAGCTTCATTGTCTTTCTTTCTAATCAGTTCGGGGGCACGGGTGGCCCACTCGTCTTAGGCGCCGCGATTCACTGTGCAGGGTTGCGTACCTTGGGCACACCAGAAACCTATGATTGTTGGTTCGAATCCCGGTTCGCCCCGATTATGTTTCTAGGTTTGTCAGCACCATACCCGTGCTCGTGGGTTTCACCAAAGTGGTGAACGTCTGAGACTGCATCACTTCGGGCTTTCCTCCCACATTAAGCTGATATGCCGTGATATAACTGGAATATTGTAAAAAGCGTCGTTAAACCCAACACACTCACTTACTTCTAATCAGTTCAGTCATGAATTGTTGGTTAGGCATTACTTATAAGTTGACGGTTGCCAAAGTAGACACAATTTATGGATAACAACTTCTTACATACGGTAAAGGCGACGTTTCGGTGTAAATCTTTACAAAGTTGTCAGGAATACAGAAAGTCAAGAAATTCTTTCTTGACAACGGTATAAGGATCTATACAGAAACGTTGCCTTTACAGTATTAAAGAAGTTGTTATCCATAAATTGTGTCTACTTTGTCAGTTCAGTCATTAAAATTAAAACATGTATGTGTTAACTGTTTCAGCAAACTCTCAGAGGCAGGTTGAACTAACGAAATACATATATGTATGCATGTTAAATACTCATAGTCTGTTAACTTTCCACACGATGTTTTTAGACGGAAGCAAGGTGGATTCATTGGGAAATGTTCCAGTGGAGACTATCAATTACTGACTATTGTACATATCCACCATGCAGCTTCCCTTTGACAAATCTAGCTCTGTGTGTTTGTGAAGTTCTAGATGCGACTAACAATTTCTGACGATACTACAGATAGGCGTTATCTACAATGTAGTTTCACTTTGACAAACCTAGATGTGTGTGTTATATGAAATGAACTGACAGTATGTACATGTAGCGGCAAAACTGATAAATTAAAATGATTCTAACTCTGCTACTCAGTCATTCAAACAATGAAGTTATGTTCATAGAAAGTAAAAACTGGAATCTGTTAGTGTTAATGTCAATCATTATATGTATAAACTCGAACAAGCGAATATGATATTCTCATCGAAAGTTCACCGTTTAATTATTGAAACCAGTGAGAGTTTTCGACTAGCCTATTGAAAGTGTAATGGGTTGATTGGTTGCATTTTTTAATGAAATCCTTCTTAATCGTGTAGAGGTTGGCAAGGGAACAAAAGGATACCCTACACCCAAAGTACCTGCCGAGGTAGCTGGTTACTTGATGCATGTCACCGTGTGTTAACAGTACGTTGCATGCTAAACATGTGTCTGTGTTGTGCAGTGTAGAACCATAAATAGTGTCAGTTACGTCAGGAAGTTTCTAGCGTGAAGAGGTGAATGAAAGAGTTGAGTGATAGAGGGCTTTCGGATCGAAAAACACAAACCCGTTCAGGTAGACAGTAACTGGAAGAAGGTCACCGTGTCTTTACATTGTATTGTATTGTATTGTATTGTATTGTATTGTATTGTATTGTATTGTTATTATTATTACTTTTTGAGAAGGTCCGGGTGGAGGTGCTGGAGGGTTGTTGGTAGTAAAACCTGAGGATGAATCTAAGAGGTTTAATTTTTTTCAGGCCAGAATTTCACGAAAGAATAGCTTACAACTGAATAAAAATTGAAAAAAACCTTCTGCAGCTATGTCCAGCCGGCTTTTCTACTCTGCGATAAGAACACATCTACGGTTGCACAAGGGATTTGCAGCTGTTCCAGTGAGATCCTATGCAGATATTCCGAAAGCATATCGCCCGTATGGAAAAACGGGCGACGGACATTATGGATCAACACTCGGAAAACAGAATGTTGGATATGTCGAACCCGTACGAGAAAAGATTCTCACTTTGGCCAAAACCATTCCTTTCACTTCCAAGGACTCGGTCTTCAACATTGGCGACTACGCTGCAGCTGATGGATCCACCGCCATGGCCATATTTGGTGAGTTGTTGACAACTCTGAAAGGTCATCATGGCCCCGACACCCAGTTCCAGGTTATCTATGAAGATTTGGAAATGAATGACTTCAACTCCCTGTTCAAACGTATGTCAGGAATCATCCCTGATCCGCCGTCCTACCTTCTGGAAATGGACAACGTCTATGTTCTTGCTTCAGGGACAAACTTCTATAAACAGTGTGTGCCTTCAAACTCAATGCATTTCATTATGTGTTTGACATCTATCCACTGGTTGTCGAAGACTCAAACGACCTTTAAGAACTCAATATACAAAGATGACATGAGTAGTGCTGAGGAGAAGACTGCACTGCACAAGCAAGCCGATTTGGACTGGGAGACCTTTTTACTGAGAAGAAGTGGAGAACTGAAACAGGGAGGTCTGCTTGTAGTAGGTGCCTGCTGTGAGTTTGTGGACAGAAACAGTGGAGAAATTAGACACCTTGTTGATTCTTTTGTACGACTGCTGAATGAAGTATGGAAGGAATACAGCCGATCTGGTAAAATCTCCAAAGAAGAGTTCTTGAATACAAATTGGTCTGCTTGTCTTCATAACATGGACCAGCTGAGAAAACCATTCGATGACAAACTGTCAGCTGTTTCAGGGTCAGGACTATCACTTTTGTCAGCTGAAACTGCAGTCAACCCTGATGTATTTTACAACGCCTGGAGAAAGAAGAAAGACGAGGAAGGAATTGATGATAGGGAGGAGTTTGCCAGGATGTACGTATCCGCTCACAGGAACTGGAGCAACAGTACCTTCATGAATGGTCTCTCAGACTCCCGATCACTGGAGGAGAAGGAGAAGATAGTTGATGGGATGTATGATGTTGTGGAGAAACGAATTGCAAGGATGAACCCAGAGACATTCAAGGATGATTTGAGATTTATATATCTTGTGATCAGAAAAGAATAGTCAACCAATAAGTCATGAAAGAAGAGCAGCCTTGGAGCCATCTTCACAGGCAATCATTGATAACTAATAACAATGCAAAATCCTAATTATGTGTAATCCATGTTGAGAAATAATTGGTATTCATTACATATGAAACATTTATACAATACATGTACTAATAACTTGTTATGATTTGTAGACATGTTTAGAAAATAATGATTGCGGTTTTGCACATACAGAGTATTTGATCTTTAAAATGCAAGCATTATAGAATGAAAGGGGTATACTTGTTGGTATGTGTGGAAAGTATGCTTTTGCTTCACACACAGTTCATCACCCTACTTCAGTACGATCCTTTGAATGAGGAGTACAGTAAACTACGGTTATTATGAACTCAAAGGGACTAATATATTTAGGTCGTTATAAGCATATATACAGCATATCTACAACAAATATTAGGGACGAAAAAGTTAGTTCGTTATATCCGTCAGTTCGTTATAAGCGTGTTCGTTATAACCGTAGTTTACTGTACTATGCAGAATAAATATGGCGTACTTTAAGTGTACATAATGTTGATTTTCGCCAAATATATTGGTCTTTGTGGGTTCTTTCTTTTCAAATGAACATTCGCATACATTGTTGCATTTTACAGATATGCTTTAATCCGAATTCATGGTATTCGATTTATATGTTCGTTTTTAACGCCACGCGTTGCAACATTCCAGTTATATGACGGCGGTCTCTCAGTAATCGTCTCCGGACCAGACAATCCAGTGATTGACATAATGAACATCGATCCAAGTACATGTAGTTGGCATGCTATGACATGCAACAACCAATTCAGCAAGTCTGACCACCCGTTCCCAGTAGTCGCTATCTTGTGACAAACATTGGGTTGTATATTCACAGAGGTTGTATGTGTTGTAAAATGGCATTTAAGTAACATTATAAATAAAGTATAAATTTCATACTTCATTTTCTATAACCGGTAATTATTGTTACACCACAATCACTGATTCGGAAACAGCTTTCAAAATCCATGTGTAGATTTAATGAAGCTTTTGATTCTATCTGAAGATATTTTTTTATGGAATGCGTTAACTCAACACGATATTAAAGGCAACACTCTGAATATAATTCGTGATATGTATTCTAAAAAAGCAACAGCTGTTAAAATATCAAATGTTAGCATTTCCGAATATTTTCATATGTTTAAGTGGTGTTCACCAAAGCTGTATTCTAAGTCCACTTCTGTATGGTATGTTTACAAACAAATGTTAGCACAGCTAACAGATACACATATCCATGCACACAACTACATAAAATTGAAAAGTTCAAAAGTTTTATACAGTCACTCACTAGGAAAGCCACAGGTGCTTACCATAGAATAAAAACGATTTTCATGATGATATCCCGATAAAGTTAGCAATAATATTGATAAAACCCTCATAGAACCAATAATGTAATACAATTGTGAAGTTTGGGGTATAGATTTTACAGAAAGAATACAGCTTTAGTTTTATTCAGCATTACTATGTGTTTAGGAGAAGGCAAGAAAACACATAACTGTGGATGTCAGGCAGAATTATTCTAACTTGTAGTCCCAATAATAATAAAAATAGTTGATTAGAAGTTCTGTATAGATGACACGACAAACATGTTTTGGCAGCAAATATCAATCTTTCTGGTTAAAATATCTGCTCGGTTAAATGAAACAAACTTTTGAAATAGTAAACACAAATAAATGAAATGAATCTACTCTAAATGTCAGAATATGTTCAAGCATTCATTAAGGGATTCCCTTATATCCAAATGCAAGTTAAGAACAGGCTGGTCAAGTCATCTGTAAATATTGAAAATAATCTTACATGTAAAAACAAAGGTCATAGGTCACATTTCTCAAAAGTTCGTTTTAGTAATCACAAACTAAAACTGAAACTTGTAGATATACAAATACACAAATGCCACTGAACAACGACTGTGTGAAATACGTAATGTCTTAGAAGATGAGCAGCATTATGCACCGTCTTGTATAAAATACAACCAAGAAAGAGAATCACTTCTACAAATAATCCTCAATCATGATAAAGAATTTGGTACACTCTGTTTAAAGGAACAATTCTTAATAAGTTTTAGCAACAGTTATCCAGAAACAATTTCCAACATCTGTTACCATATCTACAATTATAAATAGATTCCTTGTAAGAACAACAAAACCATAGTTTTGCTCAATTCTCATATTGTTTCCATATTATTATAATACACGTGCTTTAAAGTGAAATTGTTATCTTGTACCTCTTTTTTATGTTGAACGTAAGTGTGTGTTTTGTACTTTCTGTATATAAGTACAGAATATTTTGTTATAGTTTGTCATAGTGTAATATTGCCAATGTTTCTTCATGGAATGTTACGCAATAAATATCTCATCGAAAAAATCTTTGTGGTATGATAATTTGTTACAGTTGTGTTGGCCCAGTCGCATTATGCGCTTCAATGCGCTATGCAGGGTTGTGTCCCTTGGGCACGCCAGAAACTAATGACAGTGTGTTCAAATGACGGTTTGCACCGATTATGTTTCTGGGATTGTCAGCACCATACCCGTGCTCGTGGGTGTCACCGAAGTGGTAAACGTCTGAGACCAGCATCACTCTGGGCTTTCCTCCCACACATCAAGCTGGCACGCCGTGATGTAACTGGAATACTATTCAAAACGGCGTCACTCTCTCACTAAACATAACTCTTTCTGTGCGGTTCCGTTTGGTCAACTTGGTTTGTGATTACTTCCGGTTCAGATTTGAAAGATGTTTAGAAGAATGTTACAAGGTTCAACCCAACGTGAATATATCCTGCAACCGTTTTATTTTTTAGGAATATACTGACTACAGACCAATCAGCTCATTCCCTTTGTACCCAGAAGCAAAGAACTTGTGTGTGTGTAATCTCTGCCGGAAGTTAAAAAACTGTCAATGCAATGAATCATGCAGAACCCTAAACCACCCCACGAAATGGTATGAATCATAGATTACATACAGTGAAACAATACCAAGCTCAACTATGCACAGCAAGCACCATACATGTGATTATGAAGACGACTAATCGCAAAGTTCTCGACCGCCTCCGTGGTCCTGTGGTAGAGCGTCCGTCCGGAGAGCGGAAGGTCCGGGGTTTGACCCCCGGCCGCGTCCTTCCAAAAGACTTAAAAGATGGTATTTGTTGTTACCCTGTCTCGCGCTCGGCATGTTATACTGCGGCATGGTATCTCAGTGAGCTAGCACTATAAATCGGCATCAGTCCGGACTTGTACAAGCAGCCATACACACACATACACACACGCGCGCGCTATATAAGTGCAATAACCTTGGACTTGACGCTAAACCCAATTTCACCTCACCTCACCTCACAAAGTTCATATCAAACCCGCTGTTTTAATCGTGTTCAACAATAAGTTGCAATTGCAGTGTGAATGGAGAAAGAGTGCGGGTAACCTGTTTGACCAGAATTCCTCCCTGGAATTATTCTCGCTGGATGCCTGAATAACTTACGATACATTGTACAGGGAGTGGGCATTAGAAATTTTCGGGTAAGGGGGATAATCACTCACTCTCCAAACCAAAGCCAGCTAACAGTTTGAATAAGATACAATTTACAGCATTGCAAGGTGAGTACGTGACAAAGTTCTATACTACGCCTATTGCCAAAGGCGATAATCGTTCAGTGCGCAATAGCTTATTCTTACAAAATATAGATCGGTTAACTTACACGAAAGGAGATATATACTCTTCAAAAAAATAAACGCACAGGTAGTATGTAGGTCATTGAACTTGACTACACAAAAATTCTGGTATATAAACTGGATATATGTTATTGTTGGTGGCCCCATGGGTCAAAACGCAGCCATTGTCCATTTGCAATGTCTTAAACGGCATTGTTTTCAAAAATTGTTCAAAAATGTCATGGAGGAAAACAGTAAAGCATAATGCACGTGCAAGTTATGGCATTCGTAATTCATGGTAGTGGCTATGAAAAGGCAAGCATAAGCCAATAATTTATCATTCAATTGTCAACATTTTCCAAGTTCGAAAATGCCGAGACTCAGCACTGCCGATCGGAACATCGCCACAGGACGTATCAAAAGAGATGAATCACAGTGTTCTGTTTGCACGCCACTTCAATGCACACAACAGCATCATTTGTCGCCTTTGTGACCGATACACACAGTTCAATTCCACTGCCGACCGTCCGAGAACAGGCCGACCAAGAGTTACCGCACCAGCACAGGATCGGTACATTCGACTGTTCCACCTACGTCATCGCAATGCCACAGCTACGGAGACTGCAGGACGCATCCCTGGTTTGAAGAGGATATCGGGCCAGACTGTCAGGAACCATCTTCGCGAGGCTGATTTCCGACCTAGAAGACCAGTTATCGTCCCTGTTTTGCAACAGGTCCATCGACAGCGACGCTTGCGTAAGCAGCCTGGAGAAACTCGAGACGAGTGTGGTTCAGCGATGGCCCAAGTACATGTCTTTGTCTGAATCATGTCCTGAATAGGCTTAAGTACACTTCTTAGTCTGATTCATGTGCTGAATAGGCTCAGGTACACTTCTTAGTCTCATCCATGTGCTGAATAGGCCCAAGTACACGTCTTTGTCTGATTCATGTGCTGAATAGGCCCAGGTACACGTCTTATTCAGATTCATGTGCTGAATAGGCCCAAGTATATTTCTTTGTCTGATTCATGAGCTGAATAGGCCCAGGTACACGTCTTAGTCTGATTCATGTGCTGAATAGGCCCAAGTCAAGTCCTTGTCTGATTCGTTTCGTCAATAGGCCCAAGTACACTTCTTAGTCTGATTCATGTGCTGAATAGGCCCAAGTACACGTCTTTGTCTGCTTCATGTGCTGAATAGGCCCAAGTACACTTCTTTGTCTGCTTCATGTGCTGAATAGGCCCAAGTACACTTATTTGTCTGATTCATGTGCTGAATAGGCCCAAGTACACGTCTTTGTCTGGTTCATGTGCTGAATAGGTCCAAGTACACTTATTTGTCTGAATCATGTCCTGAATAGGCCCAAGTACACTTCTTAGTCTGATTCATGTGCTGAATAGGCCCAAGTACACTTATTTGTCTGTATCATGTCCTGAATAGGCCCAAGTACACGTCTTAGTCTGAGTCATGTGCTGAATAGGCCTTAGTACACGTCTTTGTCTGATTCATGTGCTGAATAGGCCCAAGTACACTTATTTGTCTGTATCATGTCCTGAATAGGCCCAAGTACACTTCTTAGTCTGATTCATGTGCTGAATAGGCCCAAGTACACGTCTTAGTCTGATTCATGTGCTGAATAGGCCCAAGTACACTTATTTGTCTGATTCATGTGCTGAATAGGCCCAAGTACACGTCTTTGTCTGATTCATGTGCTGAATAGGCCCAGGTACACGTCTTATTCAGATTCATGTGCTGAATAGGCCCAAGTATATTTCTTTGTCTGATTCATGAGCTGAATAGGCCCAGGTACACGTCTTAGTCTGATTCATGTGCTGAATAGGCCCAAGTCAAGTCCTTGTCTGATTCGTTTCGTCAATAGGCCCAAGTACACTTCTTAGTCTGATTCATGTGCTGAATAGGCCCAAGTACACGTCTTTGTCTGCTTCATGTGCTGAATAGGCCCAAGTACACTTCTTTGTCTGCTTCATGTGCTGAATAGGCCCAAGTATATTTCTTTGTTTGATTCATGTGCTGAATAGGCCCAAGTATATTTCTTTGTCTGCTTCATGTGCTGAATAGGCCCAAGTATATTTCTTTGTTTGATTCATGTGCTGAATAGGCCCAAGTATATTTCTTTGTCTGCTTCATGTGCTGAATAGGCCCAAGTATATTTCTTTGTTTGATTCATGTGCTGAATAGGCCCAAGTATATTTCTTTGTCTGCTTCATGTGCTGAATAGGCCCAAGTACACTTCTTAGTCTGCTTCATGTGCTGAATAGGCCAAAGTACCTTTCTTTGATTGATTCATGTGCTGAATAGGCCCAAGTACCTTTCTTTGTTTGATCCATGTGCTGAATAGGTCCAAGTACACGTCTTTGTCTGATTCATGTGCTGAATAGGCCAAAGTACACTTCTTAGTCTGATTCATGAGCTGAATAGGTCCAGGTACACTTCTTAGTCTGATTCATGTGCTGAATAGGCCAAAGTACACTTCTTAGTCTGATTCATGAGCTGAATAGGCCCAAGTACACTTCTTATTCAGATTCATGTGCTGAATAGGCCCAAGTACACTTCTTAGTCTGATTCATGTGCTGAATAGGCCCAAGTATATTTCTTTGTTTGATTCATGAGCTGAATAGGCCCAGGTACACGTCTTAGTCTGATTCATGTGCTGAATAGGCCCAAGTACACGTCTTAGTCTGATTCATGTCCTGAATAGGCCCAGGTACACTTCTTAGTCTGATTCATGTGCTGAATAGGCCCAAGTACACTTCTTAGTCTGATTCATGTGCTGAATAGGCCCAGGTACACTTCTTTGTCTGCTTCATGTGCTGAATAGGCCCAAGTACACTTCTTAGTCTGATTCATGTGCTGAATAGGCCCAGGTACACTTCTTTGTCTGATTCATGTGCTGAATAGGCCCAGGTACACTTCTTAGTCTGATTCATGTGCTGAATAGGCCCAAGTACACTTCTTAGTCTGATTCATGTGCTGAATAGGCCCAGGTACACTTCTTAGTCTGATTCATGTGCTGAATAGGCCCAAGTACACTTCTTAGTCTGATTCATGTGCTGAATAGGCCCAGGTACACTTCTTTGTCTGATTCATGTGCTGAATAGGCCCAAGTATATTTCTTTGTTTGATTCATGAGCTGAATAGGCCCAGGTACACGTCTTAGTCTGAGTCATGTGCTGAATAGGCCCAAGTACACTTCTTAGTCTGATTCATGTGCTGAATAGGCCCAAGTATATTTCTTTGTTTGATTCATGAGCTGAATAGGCCCAGGTACACTTCTTAGTCTGATTCATGTGCTGAATAGGCCCAAGTATATTTCTTTGTTTGATTCATGAGCTGAATAGGCCCAAGTACACTTCTTAGTCTGATTCATGTGCTGAATAGGCCCAAGTATATTTCTTTGTTTGATTCATGAGCTGAATAGGCCCAAGTACACTTCTTATTCAGATTCATGTGCTGAATAGGCCCAAGTACACTTCTTTGTCTGATTCATGTGCTTAATAGGCCCAAATACACTTCTTTGTTTGATTGATGTGCTGAATAGGCCAAAGTACACGTCTTTGTCTGATTCATGTGCTGAATAAGCCCAAGTACACTTCTTAGTCTGATTCATGTGCTGAATAGGCCAATGTACAATTCTTAGTCTGATTCATGTGCTGAATAGGCC